CAAATATAGCATTCTTAAGGGCACGAAGAAAATTCAGCAACATAAGCATTAATCAAGCCACAAAATTTAGTCTCAAAAATTTCCCAACAGTTTTATTACATTTTATAAAGGCTTTAAGTTTAAAGCCAATGTTTTTAAAAGCCAACGTTTCACATATTGTTTTAAAAAAATCAAATATTATATTTCTAAAACAAAACCCTGGATTGAATAACTAATCATATAGGAAAATTTTCTAATTCATACTAAATCATAATAAAAACAAATTTTTGAAAATCTCCTAAAGTATTGCTAAGTTAGTAACTTACAGCTTTAAATTAGTATATCAGGAGTGAACAGCATTAAAGATTCTAACTAAAAAAGCAAGAAAAAAGTAAATGATATGTAAAGAGGTAAGAGAAATAAAATGCAAGTCAATAAAATATAAAGATAAATATTATAAAACTACAAAAAAAATTTTACAAATGTTTTAAATGAACTAACCCTGCACCAAGACTTATAAAGAACAAAAGGTGTGGCAAATACCAGTAACAGGAATGTAATGCAAAGTCTCAAAACAGATGTTGCAAATATTATAGGGTAGTGTTATAAAAAAATTAAGCCAAAATTCAACAGAATTTCTCAATTTTACCAAAACATTTCACAAAATAAAAATCATTATAGGTCTAAATACCTTCAACAACCAATTTTATCATGCATTTAAAAAGAAAAAGACAAACTACACAAATGCTCCAACCATAATAAAAGGAAAAGCACACCTCGGCTTATTTTATGAGACCACCATTACAATGATATTTAAACCCAGTGACATTATAAGAAGCTACACACCAATATTCTTCATGAGTATAGACACAAAGATTATTAATAATAAACTAATAAATAATATCTAACTATACTTAAAAGGGAAAATATACTATGACAAAGTACAGATTATTCCAGGAATGCAAGATTAATTTAATATTTAATATTTAATGGCAGGATCAACTAGTTGATTAAGGTAAGGGGGGAAAAGGAGCAAAACTGTGTTTATCTATAGTTGATGTTAACTGAGTAGCAGAAAAATGCTTAAATATTAAGGGATCAACAAGGATAACAAAAAGTTACAGGAACAATAAATAATCTTAGCAAAGTTGAAAAACACAAGGTTAATATTTTTCAATTACATTTCTATATACAAGAAATAAACTTAGAATTTAAAATTTCAAATGCTACTTTTATCTGCATCAGAACAAGAAAATTAGAGGTAATTCTACATATTATATACAACAGTTGTTTCCTAAAATCTACAAAAAGTTAAAAACCTAAATAAATTACCATTCATATTCATGGACAAGAAGACTCACTAGTAGTAATATGTCATACCCATTCTCAAATCTATCTATTGAACATAGAAGAGCAGTTTCTTTACTAAAAAGAACAAGCTGATTCAAAGACGTACAAGGAAATAACATATACTAAAGATGTAAGATAATCCAAAAATCTATAATATATTCAAAAAGTACAAATAAAAACATTCATACTAAGAGATAAAAAACTTTATATGCTTATCTTCTGAAACTTTTTTACTATAATTATCTAAGTATACAAACATGGATCTTTTACATTTATCCTCATGGCCAACTTTGTGTATTTATAATACACACTGTATTAATTCTCAAAGAAATTACTTACAAGGTGGCTATTAATATTAATCATTGAAAGTAAAACTAATCTGCTATAAATTAGGGAGTAGTTCATGAAGTATATAGAACCATATCTTTTATCTGTAAGTCTCATGATTATATGTTATTGTATTAGCATATTTAAAAACTTCAAGAGCAACTTCAGATATTTACTATTTTCACAAACTATCTTTCAGTCATTCCATAGCAAGTTCTCAAAATATAATTAAAGACTATCAAAGACTCTTAATACTAAAATGTGATTCAACTTCCCATACTCAACTCATCACTGTAACTAAAAACATACAGCTCAAGTTTTCCAGAAGTAACATGGTATGTTACAAGAAAATGCAGGGGCAAAGATGAGAACTAACTTATTTTCTCTTATGCCAGCAACAAAGAAACGTTTGTTAAGCTGCTTTCTCATTTTTTTTAAGTCTTAGACTGTCATTAATTTTTGTTTGTATATTAATATAAAATGCATATAAATTGTGATTTTCATCTTAAGCATTTTAAATTCACAATTTTACTTTTTAGTTTGGTAAACAATGATACGTATTACACACTGATACGTGTCTTTGAGTCCTCATAAATTTTAAGAATATAAAATGGCTCTTCTATCAAAAACAGTAAGAATCACTGCAGCCCAGGAATAATACCTAAGGCTTACATGTTAGGATAACAACCCTAATTATGAAAAGGAAGAGCAGAAAACTTATTTGAGAAAGATTATCAATTGTTAAAAAGAATTATCACATGTTAATGTTTAGATTTTCTCAGTTAGACATTATATTAAGCTCCCTGAAAATCTACTAAAGCTTATCAGTAAAACAGCTCAAGGCCCAGAAATACACACAACCTTTCTCAAAGTTTTCCTTGTTCCTATCAGAATGCGCCCCTACTGTAACAGAATGGAAAAGTACTCCTCCAAGTCTCTGTCCAATGACTCAGTACATGCTGCCTGCATATAAACCCTGCACTGTTCCTCCCAATTCTCCTCCTCCCCTCTGGTGCTTAGCTCTAGCACTTTTACCACCCTCTAATGTATTTACATGGTGGCCTGTTTATTGCATATTCTGCCCCTCCACTCGGGATGAGGAAAGCTATATAAGAGAGGGCAGGGTTTTTATTCTGCTTCATTTACTAATGTGCCAAACACAAAATAGTCACAAAATAAACAATTTTGAAATGAGTTAGTGAGTATTTTACTGAAGTCAAATGTGAACTCTGCATTTTACCAGGTGAGAAGAAATGTCTTAGCAAACTAACTCCACACTCATCAGTAGCTACGCATGCTCTGCACGTGCGAGCGATGCGACGCCTGGAGGGAAACTCTCAGGGCTCAACAGTTCTTCTAGTTTCAGAAATGAAAAAAGATAAGAAGACAAAAGACAAGGAGGGAGATTGATATGAAAACAGTTGAAACTAGAGGCAGCATAAATAGGCTTTTCTCTAAACCTAGTATTTCTTGGAATAGAAACAAAGAAAAATAAAAATAAGAAGAGCTAGCACACCTCTCTTCTCCTGATGAATTTCTTCCAGAAGTTGCTCCTGCCTTTCTATCTGCTCAAAGAGACACTGGAGCTCAGATTCCTTGTTCTCAGTCAGATCCCTGAGTTGCTGTCTGCAGAGCATCAGCTGATGTCGCAGATTCTTCTCCCTGTTTTCTCTTTCTTTTAGTTCCTCACAGAGCCACTGAAGTTTAGTCTAAAAAAAATGAAGTATCTAATTAAAAAAAATTCAGCAGACAGTAGCATTTCAAAGTATGAAAATAAAAGCAAACTGATGATAATCTGAAAAATACAGGAAAGATTACCAAATTTATGCAAAATTTTAAAACTCCACACTTTACGTTGTATACAGGTTTATTAACAGCTAAAAGTTGGCTCTGCAATGACCCCATTACACTCCTAGATTTGCACAGAACACTTGGTACAGTCCATCATTCTCAGAAAGGAATCACCCCAGAAGAGCTTGCCTAGTAAATTTCCAGTCATACTGTCCGTAGTGCCTTGACATGTAAGGCAGTAAGGAAGGTATCTGAGAATTAAGAAAACATCCCAGGATAGGACTATTAATTTCAGAGACTCAAAAAAAAAAGATTATCCTAGTCATGAAAAGATAAGATTCCTAGTACTGCCTCAGGTTCAATGAATTAGGTAGAGGGAAAGACTATCTAGAAACAACTGATGATGAAGTCAACATTTGCCCACATTTAAGAGGCC